AGGATGAAAGCATGGGTTTCTGCAATGTAACAAGTATAGCATGTAATTTTTTTGTGTGTGTGAAAAAGCAATTTAGTACAAGGCTTCATATCCAAATTGGTAGAAGTGATTTATCCAAGTAAAATACCCTATCAGAAGAGATCAAAATAGCGTTGCAGAGCCATGTTAACTGGAATGTATTTCTTTGATAAAATTATGCCATACCAAAAATCTTTTACACTACTCTGTTATTTGGTAAACTAAAATGGGATGTTACCTGTAATTTGATGAATCATGAACTTCGGGAATTGGCCTAAATTTCCTTTGTTGTGACAAATGATACTGCTGCGAGAGAGGTCTCAAGAATACCAAGTACTTCTAAGTTGTTAGTCACTGAAACTTAATAATGGTGGGGAAAACTAGTGATTGTAAAATAGGTATGTGACTTACCTTGTTTAAAATTTAACTTTGAAGCTTCTTTCAATTTATGAATGTAAAAGACTTAAAGAACCGTTAAAATAAGCTCTGGTTATATTCCTATTGGAAAAAGCTGATTACTTTCTACCAATAGCTAAACATGCTTAAGGATAGAAATAGTATTTAGAATTCCTGAAGAAGTTGGTACACTGAGGTCACAGATTGCTTCTCAAATTGTTTAGCCAAAAAAGGAGATAGTAAGGTTTTAGAGATGTGGGCCTTCCTCCTTGACCTGTTTGTTCAGTATCATTAAAACACACTAAATTATTAAATTAACCTCGTATTAAATAACATGGATGTTAATATTTGCTTTTTACTTCTGTGAGCCTGAATATATATCTAGAAGACCATAAGGTGCTTGCTGTTATGGTTGCCTTTGCTAAATCCTCTTCTTTCCGCGTGACATGTAATCTTCTGTTGTCGTTTGGAAATCATAGTTGCTTGTCTTCAGTCATGTATTTCGCAGTGCCAGGATGTTTAGATGTTGGTATAGCGGTGCTCTCTGTCCTGTGTGAGGCTTTGTGATGTTTTCTTAGCTTGTGTTATATTTGCCGTAGAAAGGCTGAGCAGCACCAGGGTGTTAATTAGGCTTTTTGCAATGTATTAATTAAATTTTATAAATGCATGTTGAGTAGATCCAGTGGAACCGGTTTTTGAAGTAAAATACAAACACTATGCACTCAGACTTCCTCCATAAACAAATGATTGTGATTCATCTTGCAGTATTTCATGAACTGTAGGGTTCTTTCCTGGTTAGTTGTCTGTTCAATGAACACAGGGGTTGGCTTGCACACTCTCCATTTCATATATGTAACAGGCACTAAAATGATACCAAAAATAGTTTCCTACTTTTGTTTCTTCTTTGAAGATCCCTTGTGAGGTGATACTGAGATTCTCAAGAGCGAACAATTTGTTAAACACAAGGGTGGAGTTGATAAAACTGTACCGGCAGAGGCAGAAATGCATATTTTCATATTTGGCACCTGTGTTCTGTACTTGATGGCAATCTATAAATATTTACATACTGCAAAAGTAAATGAGTTATTGTGGTAGCTGTTGCTGTTTCTTGCTTTGACAGGAATGAGGTGACTCTGGGTGTCTGAGTTTAGTCACAGACTATACACACAAGCGCAGAGCGTTGCATGCGCAGTGTCTGCTGAAGCTGCCATTTTGTCATCTCAGAAGGAGTATGTTCAAACCTCCTTCTCTTTTTTTTTTGTTCCTGCATGCTTATGCTTTACAGTATTAACTGATAGTTGGGGAGGAGCATTTCCATTCATCACATTTTTCAGTATCAGTGTTTCAACAGTTTTTCGTTTGAGCTGCATATGTGTTGTAAGATTTTCCTGAGGACCTGTTTCATACAGAGCATCCACCAGAACTCTTGTGTGTCATACTTTGTTTCGTAAGAAGAGCTCAGAGGGCCCCATGTAAGATGGTCAGTGTTGTGACAAGTATTGTACAAATGGAAGTCAAGGCAGGGAAGGGGTATTCTGGATTTGAGGAAGATGGGTGTGCTACCTGTCTCCCACTGAAAGTATCCATTTCTCTACGGTAGAGCTGGGACACTGAATAGCCTAGAGAGCTGTCCACCACTAACGTTGGCCAGAAAATGTCACCCAGGCCATGAGGGAGCAGATCCTATTGACACACCAGCTCTGGGAGAAAGGGAGCTGAAGTTCTGCATTTGCAGTGTTATGTGGCTGGCTTGGTGGTCTATGAACACTTCCTGCATTTCATTAAACGCTATGTATGAATTTGATACTCTTAACAGGCAGTATAACAGCTGGATGAGCTCTTGCATAGTAATAGTATTGTTTTAAAGCATGTGCCAGATGTAGGGGCTTATTGCCCGCAGGCACTGGTCTGTACAGCTGCTAATATCAGCTTTCTACACTCTCGTTCTGTCTGTAGCACGATTTTTCTCCTTCTTGCTTCCTCAGATGTTATCCACCTCAGCAAACTCTGTCTCCTTTGCACTCTGAGGGCCTGTCGTGGTGGTGACGGTCCCAGTTAAGCAACAGTTAAATCTGACCACCTTCCCTTCCCATAATCTCTGGGTTTACTGCTGTGCTGTGTCACTTCTATAGAAATCTTCCCTGAGCTGATGCACTCAATGCTTCTGGGATGTTCGTAACAAATCTGCAAGTTGTTGGATGGACTGTGAGGTTAACAGGAGATGGATGGGTGCTCATTAGAGGTTTCAAATTAAAATGCTGACAAGCTGGAGCTGCTGCATTGCACCTGTTGCGTTGTTCGTGCTGCTGCTGTTGCAGCTGCTGCCTCTATCCCTCCTGTGTTCCTCAATGCAAAATCTGCATCTCTAAGAACTGAGGCTCTGGAGAACTTAACTGTGACCTCTTTGGAACAGCAGATTGTCTTCCTGTTGTATAACAACTGCCAATGGTATTGTGCCCATCAGGGCCTCGGAGCGTTACTGCTATACATTTAATAAATAATAAAATGATATATGTTAAGGGAATCCAGATGATTTAAAGTTTCTGCTGCTTACTAGGGGGGATTTAGGATTATCTGTTGGAGTCAGTTTTGGGACATGTTGAAAGAACCATTTACATTTACATTCTAAGAAGAGAGTGTCTTGCACTAATGAATGAGGGTTTCTTTAATCATATTGTTCTCACTATAGTGCTTAAGCAAAAAAGCATTTCAGAAGCATTCGATAGTTAAAAGTTTAGCTGGTCTCTGTTTCTTACACTAGCCTTAAAATTTCTCACTGTTTCTAGCATTGTCTGTGTTCCACAGGAAAGATTAAGTATATTAGCATAGAGAAACTTGCAGCATGTTTTATAGATGTATTTTGAACCTGCTTGCCGTCAAGCTTGTCTATACTAATGTTCCCACCTGGGACAGCAATGCTAACAAACATTAACTTTTTTTAAACACCTGTAAAAGCTGTCAGATTTTCTTCTGGTGAGTGATACTCATATATGTAAAAACCACACTCCCTGCCCAACATGGTGGCAGTCCAAATAGAACAAGAAACAAACCATAAAGGGTGGGGAAGAGAGAACAAACATGTTTATTTTTAGACAGGAATCAATAGATGGGTTTGGTATATTTTTCAGGATTAGGTTTGTGGTTGCTTTTTGTTGTGTGGGTTTTGTTTCTTTTACAGGTATGTAGCTTTGACCTGAGATGTGCCTTTGTTTAGAACCAGTTCAGTACCCTCAGAGCAGTGAGATGTCCAGACAAAAAGGAATTTCGTCTAGTCCTTCTTTTGAGGAAAACATAACAGAAAAGGAACAGAGTACAGGCATACAGCAGATCTCATGCTGAATGTCAGTTAGGAACATCATGCTCTGGGAAGAGGGCTAACGTGAAACTGGGCTGTGTAAGCAGGATGTTGGCTGCAAGATGTGAAAAGTCTGGTTAGTGCAAATAAACCTTTAGCTGGAGTAACATGTCTAGTTCTCAATACTGCAGGTCATAAAGGATGAGAGAGTCCAGAAGGTCCAAAGGGGAGTGATGAGAGTGATCAGACTCCTAGAAAGAATGCGGGAAAGGGCTGGATAAGCGGATCTTGTTTATTCTAGAAAAGACGACTGATGGGACACATGATAAGTCTTCAAAGAAGTAAAAAAGTTGCTACATAGAGGAGAGGAACAAACTTTTCTGTTTCCATTGTGAGGGGGACAGGGAGTACCAAGTTTAAATTGTGGCAGAGGAAATCTAGATCAGTTGTTAAGAAAAGTATTCCTTTCTAATAGTAAGTGTAGTCACGCACTGGAATAGATTGCTAAGGGAGGTTGTGAAGTCTCCAGCATTAACAGTCTTTTTTAAAAGAATAGTTTGGAGAAGTAGTGACACTTATTATTGATTCAGCCTTGGAAGAAGAAAGGATTGGTGACTTCCCAAGGTTCCCTCTCAATCCTTTTTCTAGATGTCTTTAAAAAAAAAAAAAAGAGGTGTTAAAGTAATGCAGGGATATCCTGGAAAAAGAGCAAGAATTTACAGTGTGGCTTTGCAAAACATACTGTTTTACATCCATTCCTGTTTTCTTTCACGTTTGAAATATTTTGGTAGTTTAAGTTGTGTAAAATGTATTGTGAGTCGAACTGTTGAACTGTGTATTATCCCTGATTTTTTTGTAACCACTTTATTAGAAGGATGGTATGTATAAAAAGAAACTTGTATAAAATAAAAAAAAGACTGCATTCAGGCAACTATGAGTTTTGTAATTTCTCCAATAGTTCAAAAACATCTTTGATGTTTTTATATCTTAAGCTGAAACAGTATCACTTTGGTGGCAGCCCAGACCATCGTATGTGAGTTATAAGTTTATAAATATGAAAATAATTTGAGATTTCAAAAAAGCGCTACGTTCATTTTAAGTGGCGAAGTTATTACAATCCAAATCTGTCATTGGCTGGAAAAGCTAACAAAGGCAGAAAAAATGCATTTCAAATAAAAACCTTATCCATCTGGTATTGTTTATGTCTTGCAACTGTATTGTACTGGTCATCACTTAGTCCACATGATCGACATATGATTGTTCAGGGGTGTTTTTTTGTCTTGGTTTATAGATGACTTTGATGAGCTTGTGGTGAGTAACAATGATGTTGTGCTCAAAAATATCGCTGAAGATTTGCGGAATCATTTACCCATCGAGGCAATGTTTAATTCGGAACATCAAGCTATTCAGAAAGTAAGCTAATTGTTATGGTCTCCTTTTGCTGAACCACATCATTCATTTGGGGACTATGCTGATTTCAGTTATAGTAGTAGTTCGTAATAGAGAATGAGCACTGGCTGGAGGTATAGGTAGTCTCAGTTTGGTTCTCAGGTCTATTGCTGCATGATTGTGTGACCCCAAGAAAGTTGCTTCATAGTTCTTAATACTTTGATCATAAGTTATTTGGCATAGCTTTCATTCTGTGTGATATGGCACCTGTCACAGTGATTCTTTAATGCTAGCTCCATAATAGACTCTAACAGCCCCCTTAAAGAAAACAGAAATACAGGGCCGGTGTTGCGCTGTTGCCATAATGTGGGCAACCCAGAAATGATTTCCAGCTCTTTTCAGATTCTGATGGCTCAGAAAGAGGTGGGCTGTGAGCCCTGTGGGAGGGGAGAGCACCTTTTCTACTTGAGCTGTCAATATAGGTGGAAAGCTAATGCGTTTCCCAGAAAAGTGGTGTGTGGCTCTTAAACGGGAAAAGTGGATTGGCCACATGCAGCAAGCCTGGGAGAGGGAAGAAGGAGGAGTAGGAGGATGAAGATTATACCCCTTGAAATGATGAGAAGGCAAGCATCCCAACTGGTATGCTTTTGATTGAAAATGACACCCGTGTTAATCAGGGGTGTTTCTAGATTTGAGGCATAAGGCATGAAGATGAAAATACTCAGACAGTTGAAGTTGAGAAGCAAAATTGCCCTTTCTCCTAAATTTAAGTTACGTTCTCCTCATTAAAGTGGAAGAGAAAAAGCTTCGTTTACCCTGTACCTCCTCTATAGCCAAGCAAGCACTAAGGAGACAAAATTAACAACAGGTCTCCTACTCAGCTGTCGAAACCAGCTTGCTTTCCTTTGTCGACTTCCACTTACTGGTTATTTCAGTGGAATTTGATGATCCAGTTTACATGCAGGATTTCTGTGGTTTAATTTTGATTTGTAACTTTTGCGTGGGGAAAAACTTGGATCTCAGGGATTTTGGGAAAGGTAGGATGGTGAGACAATTAACTGTGTAACAGTGTAAGTGAAATTAAGAGACTTGGTTCTGCCTTTCTTAGGTTTTGTTCCTCTTCTCAGATACACCAGCATCCACTGCCCATGATTCATGTTGATGCATTCCTTTATGATGATGATTTTGTTGATTCATTGTGTGAGGAGGGGAAAATGAGTAGGAGCTACTGCACAGAGTGTGGCTCATACAAGACTGCATCTTTAGGTAAGTGCTCTTTTGGGAACAGGAGAAACAAATTCAGTTTAACTAAACTGGTTTGTGCAGTGACTCAGCTGGACAACACAACATCCAGCTGATGGAGGACTTTGTCCAGGCTGGTGCAGTACACAGGCCAGAATTATTTCCCATAACCAAAGGAAGGAGACTCCTACACACGTAAGTTGAATTAATTTGCAGTGTATGAGTGACACTAATTGCCCACAAAAACTGGGCAGGGAAGAGGCAGGGCTATGTACCACTGAAAAGGAAGATGCAAGAGGAAGACAATACTGTAGGAGTCCATGCAGTACCCTCAGTCTCCTCTCGTGCTGAAAAGCAGTAGAAAGCACCATCTGTCTTAAAGCTTGTGTGTGGTGTGGTACAGATCAGTGCTGTCGCCAGTATAGCACAGGCATTGAAGGAGGAATGGTTTATATGGAGGACATTCCATTCCTTAAAACCTTGGAGTTGAAATTCAAGCTATTAATATGTCTGCCCATAAAAAGGTTTGCATGAATTGTGTTGAGCCTTAGGTACACGTTTCCTTTTTCACTTAAGCAATTCCAAGTTACTTTGTTTTGTATTCTTTAGTATACCTCACTGTGCAGAAAAAGGTAATTCAGTTTCATGAAGGATTTCAAAATTCTCCATGTAAGGGAAAGAATCCCCAGACTCGGGACAGACTACTGGCCAGGCTACCTCCGATCTGCAAACCCTGATTTTCCAGGGTCCCCAACACTAGTTCAGGCAGGAAACCATACAGGTTTTCAGTGATGATAACTCTTCAGATTAATATTTCATTGGTTAATAACGCAGTAGTTAGTACTGCCCACCCAACACCTTTGTTCTGTTCTTATTTCCCAGAGTTTATTTCGCATTCCTTTTCCCTCATGGAACTGAAGTTTCTTTATCAACATGTACTGCCTGACCTGACAGGAAAGGTAGTGGTTGACGTTGGCTCCAGGCTTGGTGCAGTGCTATTTGCGGTAACTTCCAGCACAGGAATTCATATTTTATTACTGTGACAAACATTTTTCCCTCTTCTCTGACTGCCTACTCTCGTTACTCCATCTTGGACGGGTCATACTGAGAGGCACCTCTGATCTGACTCTCTGAACAGTGTAAGGTGCTGTTTACTAGTGATTTCAGTTCTTGTTCTGTTCCTCACAAGAGGGAATACAAATGATCTTGCTTATGGAGAGGAAAAGTCTGTTGTCCAACAGAGTAGCATATTGCTGTCACACATGCTGCTCTTTTGCTAGTTCCTGCTCTGTCTCTCCTTCGTAAGTAAGTTTGTCCTCTCTGTCTTGACCATGTCTATATATAGATCAGTTATGTTAAATTCCTTTATGAAGCTGACAAACTGTTAAATTACACAGAGGAAGACTTTGATATGAATTTGTCTCCAAAAACATATTGTCCTGCTCTGCGTTTTAAAATGCACATAAAATACTTCATCCAGAAACTTGAGTGCAATTTTGATTGCTTTTGGCATGGCTGGTGCAACATATGGCCAACAGCAATGCAAAACACACATTACAACTTTCTTAAAAAAGTCAATGGCTGTTTAGGGCTCAATCTTGGAAACGCTTGAGCATGTAATTTTACTCATCTGAATAATCTAATTTTGGGACTACTCAAATGAGGAAAGTTACTCCCATTTGTAAATATTTGCAGCATTGGGTCCTTAAATGGTAACACTTTTGCTAGCCTGAATTTGTTTTAAAGTACTTAAATGCTTATCTTGTTATAGTAGAAGATAGTCTCAAGATAAAGCAGGGGAAACGTTTTTAAAAAAGAATTCTCATTTTTAATCATGTTCTTGGCTTGTATTGGAGGAGAGGTGACTTCACAGGTTGCTTTTCTACTCTCTGAGTTGAATGCTTTCAGAAGACGTTGATAATTACATTGTAGTACGTAGATATCTCAGCTATTCTGTATCTTTAGCATTGTCTGTTTGCCTTTGCCATTGTTGGCAAAGTGTAATTATGGTGTTCAGTGGAGACAGTGGCACTTAAAGCAGTATCTTCATTAGGGCCCTGTAGGCTCAAGTATTTGTACTTGTTTTTTCCCTAACATCTCCAACAACTTTCCAAAATCTCAGCCCAAAACTGAACCATTATTTTGGGCTTATTATTGAGGGATAATTTATCTTTTTTCATATGTACCTGTATGAAGCACCTGAAAATGACAGTAATACAATATTTAGGGGTGCTGACAAAGACTCTGTACCAAAATATCCCATTATATTACTAGTACATGTCCTCCATTTTCACTCAGTTTGACTATGTGTATGTCTCATGGTTGTTTTTTTTTCTCTTGCTATTTTCTTCTCACATTCTCCCAAGAAACAAAAATGTACAGTCTTTTCCTTTCACACTATTTCTGTAACTTGGTTTGTACTGCTTTTTTCCTTAGACCATTTTCCACCTATTTTGCAATTGAAGTGAAGTTGGAGCTTTCCTTTTCTTTTCATTATTGTGACATGTCCTTTTGGATCTCTTATTAAAATTCGTGAGACCTAAGTGGGAATTGCCAAATCAAGGGAAGGGCTTAGCTCTGAAAAACATGTCACGTCCACTGAAAGACATTTCTCAACTTGCTGTTTTAAAATGCTTTCTTAATCTTAACCTGTGTTTCATTTTTTCCATTTTAATTGAAACTTTTGAACTTGTTTTAAAGGCATCACAGTTTCTAAATTTCCTTTTCCTAATGTAGGGTTATCTTTATAGCTCAGCATCCCAACTATCTGGAGTAGAAATGAATGGAGACTTTTGCCAGTTGCAAGAAATGATGATTACAAAATACCAGTTCATTGACAGAATAAAGGTAACTAAATAAATGGTTTAGTGTGTATATTTTTAACCACTGTGTACTAAGTATCCTGTTCATGTGCATGGCTGGTAAATCAGCATTCTGAGAAGTTGTTTCTGCCTTTGTTTGTTTTGGTCCTAAACAAAGGCTTTGCATTGGGAAAAAAAGAAAAAAATCTCATAGCAGAGAGGAAGAGGGAGATTATCAAAATATGATAACGTGTTGAATCGCTTAGCCTTTTTCCTGAATAGACTTACCTACTGGCTCATGCAAAACAGATATGTCTTAGCTGTTTCTCCCAGTGAAATCAATGATGTTATTGCCACTAACTTCTGTGAAACTGTAGTGTATAAAGGGTTTCTGTCATGAATAACAAAACTAAATGTCTGTGTTTCATTAACATTAGCAGAAAGATGTTTGTAGAATTTGCAAATTTGCACTTAAGAACACCTAAAGGACTTATGGCTATTGGTATTTCCTTTCTTGGAATGTCAGTGCATATGTACCTTCCGCAAACAAAATGGGTTTCAAACAATGTGATATCATCATGGGAACCATTTCCGTATTCCCATTATGGAAATAACTACTACTATTTTAATGAGAAAAAATACTTTTTGTTTGTTTGTTTTTCCTTTCTGGGGAATACCAGTTATTTTGTTACCAGCAAAAGTGGGTAAGTAGAGTATGCTGGGTAGAATACTGACTTTAATCCTGTGTTGTATGCATGTGCTTTTGAATGGAGTCACACAAAATGTTGGGTGTAGTAATTTCTTGGGAATTGAAGTAACCAATTTTAAACTGGAAAGAAATAATAAACATAAAATATTTAACACAGGGTAAGCAATATCATTGGGTTGCCCAATTCAATCCCAGTTGCTGCCAGTTTATCTATAACCTTTGGTTTTTGCATACGTTTTATGTTCATAACAGCTTATTGTGATGAGACTGAAAATGCAGTTAGGAACTCTGTCAAGTTAATTCAGTGGAGCTGGAGACCTATATGCATGCTTTTCAGCCTTCTATATTCTTTATTATAAGTCTTTTCGGTTTTCCTTCACACCTTGTAATTCTGCTGAAGTATTCATTTCAGAGCATAAAGATAAGAAAATAATGTGTTTTCAAAGCAGTGCCTGAGGACTTAGCTATTTGAGTCTCATTAGATGCTAATTTAGTCATGTGACTCTTGTTACCACACTTTGAACATTTCAATTTTAGATTTTTATTTCATGCCCAAATGAATCCTCTCTAGAGATACATAACAGCTTGAAAAATAGTCAGAATCCAGTTGCTGATAATAACTTACGACACAAATTTGAAAAACTTTTAAAAGACCCTTCTTAAATAACGATTGTTTTTTCAGAATATTCTGAATTTTTATTAGAGTATGTTCCCAAAGAACAGCAGGGTGGAATGATATCTTCAGTGGCTAAATCTCTGAGTGAACCTTGTGTTTCTTTGGTCAACATTTGGTTTGTTAAAGTACATAGAAAGTTGTTCAGCATCTCTTGCCATTTGAGCAAACAGATGCTGGGAGGAAAGTAAACAGTTCAACAGATCTTAGGAAACTTGAGACCTCAATTCAGAAATTGCCTGTAATCATGAAAGGCTTGGTGTGTATTCCATTGGGCAACAGGGCTGTTTTAAAATCAGTTGCTGCCCCCTCTGTTGTGCCAGCACACAGCCAGGCGGGTCAGGGAAATGGTCCAGCTGAAAAAGAACCCAGCAAAAAAAGTGGTGTTTTGGCTGGAGCAAAACCTGGGTCTGGGTGGTGGTGCAGCCATGCATGCTTATGTGGTCCCACATTCCCCAACAGGAATGAGGATGTCTTTGGGGAGAATGGGGTGCTTAGGTCACTTTAGTCGGCACAGTCACCTACTCTGTAAATGCAGACTAATTTTAAGTGTTACTCAAGTCAAGGAAACATCAACATATGTTCAAAGTTTTCCAGTAGTTTAAGCGTCTTTCTGAATTGAGGCTTAAAATACTAGTACTGCCGTTAGTAGGGCATGAAGAAAATTTAGTGCTAATCATGACTGCCTGTGCTGCAAGAAGTCCACTGGTGGAATAGTCCACCAGTCACTTGTATTTGGACTAAAGGACTGCTGCTCAGGTTTTTTGTACAGAAACCCTGTGGTTTTGTTATTTTTTCCCCTTGAAAATACGAAAGTAAAGTAGAATGTCTCCCAAGCCTCAGAAATAGTGATCCAAATCCCACTTACAATCTAGGTAAACCTGGGTTCTGATACATGAGTTCTGGCAGATCTAGCTGAGGCATGTTTTGCCCTAGCTGCCAGGGGAGCTAACAACCTGTGGGAGGCTGTTGCCTCTGTAACAGGGCAAAAGTAAAGCCTGTATCCATAATATCTCTACCACCCCAGTTCATAGTCTTTCATTTTAATCTACAGTTAGCAGTGGGCTTATGCAGAGGATATGAGTTGACAACCAGGACCTACTGTATTTAGGACTGCGGATGGTGGCCTGAGTGGTCTGTCTTCTTCCTCTGCTGCCTGAATGCTTGAACTTCTTAATCAGCTCCTGTACTGCTACAGTTTACAGTGCGCTGTTTTAAGATAAATTATCGCCAACCTTAATTGTCCTAAAAAGCTCTAACTTTCATGAACTAGTGGATAAATAGTTCAGATGTCCACACGCTAGAGGCGAAAGCAGCAATTTGTCCAGTCATTCTGACAACTAAACTGTTGCTATTTCTCAGTGAGATAGAGCCTTCAAACACTAACCTGCCAGTTCTGGGTAAGCTACAAGAACACAGTTGCTTCCTTTCCACTCACTACAGGCAGTGGGGAACAACTTGGCATAGTAATGTGTTTAAGGAGATAAAGCTGTTTGTTTTACTGAGTCAGAGCACTTGCAGAGAAGCCATGGAATATAGCTCTCAAAGGTAAAATGCTGTGATGCCTAATTTTTTATGAACGGTAGAGTTTTGTTTCTGTTATTACTGATACTGAAATATTTGGCTATAATTGCAATTGCTATAATGCATTCTGATAGCATGAACCAGAGTCATAAACTGTGGCAACTCGTCATTTTTTCCACACTTGAACCCTTACAAGTTGCAAGGTTGGTAGTATCTCTTTCCTCTGTCAATCAGAACGGCACGCTTTGTGTGTTCGTTGTGAGGAGGAATACATAATTTACCCTCCCAACAAGTATTGATATATAGTTAAGTGGGCAAAACGTTTTTCAACAGATAAGTATTTTTAATCTTCTGTACTAACATTCAGCTTTCCTGTCAGAATTAGGAATTCCTTTTTACATCTGTCCAATATTGGAAGGATTTGACAAAACATGAAATGTTGAATCCGTCAGGTTAGTATATTCCCAGGACAACCTAGTAATAGGTCACACAGGAAAGGAAAGTTGTTCAGATTTTCTGTCCATTTTCAACATATAGGGATGCACTTTGAAAAAAATTTGTGGAATGCAAGTAATATTCAGATTGGCTTTCTCTCCCTTATCCCTTCAAAAGATCTTTCAATTTATGTTTCTCCTCAGATTTAGGATGTGATGTATTTCTCCGTGTTTAAGAGGAAATCAAACACATCTTGTCAGAGTGTTAATGAGCATCCGTATTTTCCTGTCACTGTAATCTCACCTGTTTGAAAATGGCATGATGTGCTCATGTCCTTTTTGGTAGGTGAAGGTAGGTGAAATCAAAGCAGCTCCTGTGCTGACTGGAGAGGCAGTTTAAACAACTGTAAGGTAAAGCACTTGCTGTCCTCCAGTGCCGCTGAGCATCCTGCCTTCCCAGCATTCCCAGTCCCAATACGTCGTGAGAATTCAGCTGCCAAATCTGGGTCTGTAATGTCTTTTCTAGCTATAATCCTTTAGTAACCCACTGAGCCTGTGAAATGCCTTTTAATATCCTCAAAAAAGCTTCACCTCGCTTAGCTCCTTTCCTGAAATCAATGAGCATTTGTGATACAATACAGGTAAGTGAAATGTAACAGCCATCACATACATCATCTCCTCTTTTATGGCACACGGTGTTCTAGACCAAGTATCAGGTGTAGTTTATTTCACTTAATGTAATGAGTCGAGTATTTTAATTGGAGGAGATAAATCTGATTTTTATTTTTCATTTTTTAAAGCTTATTCTGTTGTTTTACTTCAGTTTTACCTACTATGAAGCCAGTGAAATACCCGTTTTTGTGACTGGTTCGAAATGGTGGTAGCAGGTGCTGTATTAGGTTGACAGGCTTCATGGCTACTTGGAGGCTGTATTTGTCTCTTGATTTATGCCTTATGAATTTTTTCTCCTTCAGGTGGTTCATGCAGACATCTGTACTCAGGCTTCACTCCTTCAGAAGGCTGATGTTGTTGTAATGAATAATGTCTTTGAATATTTTCTTGACAGACAGGAACAGGCCAGGTAACCTATGTGTCCAAACAAGTAATCTATTTCTTTGGCAATGTGTGTGTAACCTTGTGAGTTATGGAAAACCTTAAGGTTGTGCTTTTTGAAGTCACATACATAAATTACATAAGGAAATTGTTTTAAACTGCCTACACTTAATTGTTGTACTTAACTGCTAAGGTGTTATGGCAGTTGTTTGTTGTTAAACCCACTAAACACTGCTGCTTTGTTTACCCAAACCTTGCCCTGAATCCTTGTACTGATCTGTTAAAATAGTATCTTGCTGTTAAAGGATCTGAAATTACTATGTCAGCGTAAAGCTTAATCTTCAGAAAGAAGACAGGTCACTGACTTGTGGATGTCGGAGCTTTAATATAGATGCACTGCAAAACATGGTTATTAATGATATTTCTCATACATCTTCATAAGGATGTGGTAACAAACAAATGCGTGGCTAAGGTTCTTCTCTTTCAGGTACAAGTCACTCACAGATGAGCTTTTCCTAATCCAGCAGTATCAGTTTAAAACGTAAATAACTTTACCATCCAAAGATACTGTGCCTTCAGAATGGGCAGTCAAAAAGAAGGGGTGCCTGTGTCTCCACCATCCCAGCCAACGGTCTGACATTCACTAGCAGTTTCAGCTGAGGCTTGTCCTACTGCCCTTGATACCAGGCGGTAATAACCAGAGAGGCACAGAGTGGATGGGTGAAGGCTAGTGGGTGTTTCAAATTGCCAGGCGATTTGTTTCCAGGCACATGACTGAGAATTCATTTGATTCTTCAAGAACTCAGGGGTAGTGGTTTAATGTTGCATTAGTACCATGAAGACAAATGACATTTGAAGAATGCTGGAAATTAAATTCTTTTTAGTCTGAATTGTCGTGCTGTGAGAAATGATCTGACTTGCAAAATCAGAAAAAAGGAATGCTGGGGGCTGTATTTAAATACTCCGATTGCTAATGTCTTAAGAGAAGTATTTTGTCACGACTGCAAAGTACGTATGTAAAGAGCAGCTTGTTGTTAAGCTTAATAAAACAGTGTGCTCAGAGACTGGATTTTCTTCAAAACCAAAAGTTTAAAGGGACCAAATGTCAATGTTTAGTCCTAGTCCGAAGTGAAGGTGTTGACAGTACAAAATGACATGCACATATGTATCAGAGTTAAAAAGTTACAAAATCTAACGTTGTAAGACCATATACTCCCTCTGGTTTTAATACGAAGCTTGATTTTGTTCATACAAAGATATTTGCTTAGATGTTAATAGTGACTGATAAGCATGTATAGCAAGTCTTTAAGCTTAGTCTATCTCTGACCACTAAACTGTAAAAGTGTTAGATTCATTTTATATCAAATGCGGGTTTTTTTCCTAAAAATTGGTGATCTACTTCTAAATATGTTTCAGAGCTTGGGAATTTATTGCTTGTAATATAAGGAAAAGAGGGTCCTTATTAGTGACAGTTCCAAGCCTTAAAGAATCGCTCTCAAAGTTCCAGGTAAGTTCCCTCAGGCAGTTTTAGCCAACACATTTTGTCACTTTCTGTGAAAGTGGCAGTTCTGTAGTTGAGGTTAGCTGCTTGCCAGTATTGCCGTGAGGAAGGATATGTAGTTTTGTGCGTAGATTAAAAGATGTAGGGCTCTGGATTCTGTTTCCGGGTTGACCACCACCACACATCTTCCTGTACTTTGAATTGTCCCCACCTGTAAAATGGAAATCCCAGCCTGTATCAGTAGGCTGCATGAGTCATTGTATTATCATGTCTGTTATTAACAATACCTTAGCTGTGAGGCTAAAAAAACCCCACAAAACTTTAGCAAAGCCATATTATGATGTGAGTAGGTTTTGTGATATCCCCTTCCATCAGACTTCTTCCTGGTATAGGGGTAGAACCTCAGAAGTACAGATGTATTTATAAACTTCTAGAGGCAAAACCTTGAAATGTTTTCTCCGTTTAGCTCTAAGTTTGCACATTGCCTTGAAACATGACAAACTGTTTTGTTAAGCCAGTGAGAGAAAGGGACATATTAAAGAAGGACCATCCCTGAGGATACTCTCTTCTGACCTGCTGTCAGCATAGAAAATGACTCATAATATGCCAGTATGAGCTGTCAGAAGTACAGATTAGGGGGAGATGTGGTCTCCCAACTAGCCAAGTGATTACCATCAGGCGTCTTGGATCAGTGACGTAGCTTTAAATTGCAGTTGGAAACAAACACGACAACAGTGCAACTTTCAAAGATGTTGAATGCCCTGTGCTGCTGTTCCCTGGGTAGTCACCACTTCCAATGGACCACCCTCTGCTCTGCGTCCATTCTGCCATAGGTCATCGGTGGATTACAGTTGTTATGTGTGTGATGCCTCGACAAATCACGTGGGCTGGCTTTAGTTAGGAAACAAAACGCTGATCATACATGACAAGGTATAAAGTGGCTTGCTTGCCACAGTAGTCTGCTTTAGAGAAATGAATCACTTGTTGCCTGTATGCTGATGGGTGAAATACATCCTCAGCCCCAGGAGCAGCAATGGTGTCATTTGACCTTTTCTTGGAGCAGGCAGTAGTTACACAGCAGCTAAGAAGCCCTTTGTAGCCTTAATACAATACTTCCTGGGTGTAAAACAAGAAACTGCCTGCGATTCTTCTATGGTACAGTTAGCTGCTCCCTTGCCACTTCTGTCAGAATGTTGCCCTCTGATCAGGATGCTTGAGGCTTACACAAATGCATACAGAGAAGCAGTTGTAACATACTAGCAAAATACCTAGACTATTGACTGAGATAATTTTTGAAAGTTATCTTTATTCTCTCCTATTGAAGTTAAATGGCATTTCCAGAAATGAATTTATCATTGCTGCATAATTTGGAATGACTAATCTCTCTTATTATGTCTTGCCTTCTTAATGTTGTACTGACCTTGAAACTCCTGCTATGTTTCTCAAGATTGTGTTAATTTAAGGATCTGTTTTCATTGTTTCAGACAGATATACAGCTCAGCCAATGGGTCGAAGAGGTGCAGCTAAACTATGATGTGTGTATGGAAAAGGATGTTGACAGAGAAGCACTTGAACAAATACATTTATACAAGATTCTCTAGTACCTGGAAAAATTTACTAGTATCTTTGTAATATCATATATTTTGGATCTAAAATTAATTTGGATTGATATGTGTGAATAAATCAGGTCAAAATTCTTATTGTGATTAATCTGAGTCATATCTGTGGTTTGTAATGAAAAAGAGTCTTTTGAAACAGGTTTTCTTACGGAGGCATTCTGGCCCAACAGAGTATATTGACTTTTAACTAGGAGATATCCTTATGGTTTAATTTTTGCAGAAAAGTTAGAAAGAGTGGCTACATACTGATGCTAAAAGAATTTTTGTTCACTAGCATTGTGCACTGCTAATGTTTGCTAAATATATCAAACCTAAGAATAGCGAATCATTATCGATGTGAATGATAAGAATGCATTTAGCATAATGTAACTTAAAAGCTGCAGTACATTAGAGTTTGCTGTTTTGTTTTGGTATAGACCATTTATTATTATCAGTAATAATATTTATTATTAGCAGTATTATCTTTAATGTTCCTCCTATGGAATTTGTAGGTTTTCTTTCCAGGGTCTGCCTGATAACCAGAGCATCTACTGGCATCAGTTAGGAGGAGCCAGTCCTTCCATTTAGTTAGTTGTCCTTCAGGTGGCTATTAATGTAAAATACCGAAGACACTGAGGAGCCATTGAGAATTAACACAGCAAGTCGGGGACGACAGAGCTCTGTTCCACTTCCTGCACTTCTGCTGGGGATGGTAGGAAGTGTAATAAGGGGTTAAGAAGCTGAAAATTCTGAACAGGTGTCACAGCTTAGCGGAGGCTTGGTGGTGGCGTAAAACATTGGAAATTCGTAACAGAGCCTCCTCAGAGAGAAAAGATCGACATACGCCCACCACATTTATATTTAGATTTTACGTTCTAAGGATGTGAAGCTTTTAGTCAGCTGAAGAATGTTTCGGGTTTTAGCAAACATTAACAATCCAAGTGCAAAAATACTAACTTCAGGAGTTTTGGACTAAGTGCGTTCTGAATTTAGAAGCATTGTTAGTGTCTAAAAGTTTGCTACACAGCTTATGTCTAGTGCAAATGGGGAAACTTCAAATTGGATTTCAGTCTTCAAATGATTTACAGGTCAGTGAACTTGATAATATATGCTGTAAGCAAAAAGGAGCAGTGGCCATTAGGCACTCACTAACATAGTAAGTAATGGTACTGTAGAAAGGATAGTGAGTTTTAAGAAGTCTTATTTTTCATGGTCTGTTTGGAGTGGAGGAGGATGTTTTAACTCGAGTGATACTGAACCGCTGCCCAAATACTGCGTTGAATCTATTCTTCATGCATTTAAAAACGAACAAAGATGGAAAGCTTTTCTTAAAATGTTTATTTTTTAGAAGTACAGTAACTGAACTGTTGATTACTTAATTGTCAATGAGACAAATGCCCCTAGAAAGGGAACCTAGGAGAGGCTAAGCAACAGGGTGGAGGTAATGCAAGGCTAATATATCTAACAAGGAGAGAATAAAAAATGAGAAAAGAAATGCATGTGCAATTCAGAATGAGGAAATGAGCACTATAGTAATCGGTACAGTACAGTGGAAGCTGTGACTGAATTTGGAGTGTATAAATAGGCTGCTATAAAAGGAAAACTGACTGGGTCTTAAAAAGCTACTTCATAACCCTACTGTCATGTGAGAAGAAAACACCATGTCGGAATGTTGCTTACTTTTTCCAGAGGTCCTGCAAGATCTCCTGAATCAATTGTCAGGACTTTTGGCTCACGATACTGGGCATAATCTGTGCCCTGCACCTTGTTTTGGTAATACGGGAACTATAGCTTTCATTGCAGTTGTTTCCCCTCTTCATGCTGAGTCTTCAAATACTTTTTTTGGGTGTTGATCTCAGATTAAAAAAATTTTCAATAGACTGGAGCAGATCACCAGCATATTTAATGACATCTGTATCCTCTGACTCTGGAAATAGCATGCACGCATCTGGAGCTCATATGCAACAGAGGGTGCAACAGGGCAGCTTCCCCTGTCTTTTTTAGACATCAGGAGAAATTCAAGAGGTGAGTTCAAGCTGCTGAAAATTCTGTCTTCCTCTCCTGCCCTTAACAGGTCCTTGATTTAAAGCCGCACCCTGACGTGTTCACAGAGAAGAGGTGGTGGTAATTCAGTTTGGTTTTGTTAAACCGATAATTGGAAATACAACTTCTCTGTCCCTTTAGACATCTCTTCCTAACTTGGCTTCATAGGGCTGGAGCTTATAGAGCCATTCTTAAGGATGTTATGAGCTGCTTTACTCATCTACTGAAGAGCTAGAAACAACTAGTGTGTGAAAGAAGGTATTAATTGAATGTGTCCCTTTTCCAGCTTTAACTTTTGTTATCTGGCCCCTTTTAGTGCTGTTATAGATTCCCACACACAAGGGTAGCAAAAGTAAGGTGTGAGGAGGTTTGCAAAACCCTGTGTGAAAGTGGGCAGATTGGTCCTCCCTGTATATCCTCTGAAGGCCTCGGACGTCAGCTGAAATCCTTCCGAGAGTGTGTGTATTGCCGCAACTCAGGTTTTGCTTGTTCGGCTCGAGGAAGCTGCCAAGGGTATATCCAGCGTGCCGAGTCCTTGTTCTCAGTTCTGCTGCTGCTGTATTGCGTGGTATTTGGCAGATGATTGAACTTTTCTCTGCCTCAGTGTCTACAGTGAAAATGGGATTTTCAAATCCAAAATCAGAGCAAGGTTGTGAATTAACTGAATATCAATTGCTTTGAGATTGTAATATAAAAAGTGCTAAACAGCCAAGTGGTTCTTTGTAAACTGACCTAATTTAAAAGACCTGAAAGGCAAAGAGAGTACCAGTACCTCTCTGAGATAAACTTTCTGGCCCTTTTCTTCACAAGACAGCATTGAAAAGGAAGCCTAGATTAACCACACTACAGTGTTGAAAATGCATAAATAATTATTTCCTAGTGCCCTCAGTTTTTACACTGTCCTTGCTGTTAGATGGCCACTGGTGTTGGGAGGAGGGGAGGGAGGAGAAGCAAACCCCTACTGCTACCCAGATTTTTGGTTTTGCATGCAGGGCAGCTCCGTGACAGTTACCGCAGATGGCACGGTGGCTGCTGCAAGCTGCCGGCCCCTGAGCTCCTTGCTGCCCCGAATGGCTCTTGGGCTGCACGGCTGGTGTGCTACATCTTCCTGTGAAAGACAGCTCCGTGTATGACCTGATGGAGGTCCTAACCCCAGCTATGACACGGAAACCCTGTGGTCGTGAACAACTCGTAAATCACGAAGTTTCACATTTGTAGGCCTGAATTAGAACAAATCAATCTGAGGGAGCTACGCATCTGCAGTGCTTGTAATCACCAGGAGTTTCTGGCACACACGGAAAGCAGCTCCACTCTTCCCTAGCAGCATAACGTTCCCTGTAGTACTCTGGCTTCTGCAGAACGGGCTATCTGAAATTTAAATCCATCAAGAACTACTTTGGTAAACCAAAGACTTTTTGGATTCACTGTAATAGGGCAAAAACTGTCAAGCAGTAAGGATGATAGATTAACTTTGCAGACAGAAAACATTGCAAATATTTTCGTGCGAGACTGTGTTTTTAAAAAAAAAGGTCAAATGCCTGGTGTGGGCAGCCTGGGTCTCAAAGGTGAATCACTTCCCATGTGTGCTTTTTCCCAGTAAGCAGTACTGGAAGGGTCTAATGGCCCATGCTTGGGAAAACTTGACAGTGGGGCAAGCTTGAAAAAAATGAAATCCATCTCCTTCATTCCTCACCATCTATGTCCTCCTCTCTTTCTCTTTCTTAGGCTTCTCCTGTCTCGTCTCTTTTCAGATGTCTTCTCTCTCCCCGCTCCCAGCGCCAGGACCGGCCCGTGGTGCAGCAGGAGGCACACAGAAGCTCCGCCTGAGCGTGGCAGCAGCCTGCATATTGTCTCCACTGCTGGAAGGCAGTAATAGCGAACGTAGCCAGTAACTTCAGCTGGGCAACTTCTAAGGGTCAATGCTGACTGGAGTAACGATGGAAGCGTTTTTAAGGGGCTGCGTCGCGCTCCAGGAATTCTTGGTAGGGACTCCAGAGAAACAGATAGAACCAGCTCCATCTCGTCTCTGGGGCATCGTGATCCTGTTCTGGATCCCCCACCTCAGTAAAGCGGGAGCTCGACATGCACAATGCTGCTGCTCGTTGCCAGCATTTTAACAAATGGCCTCTCAAAATTCGCCCTTGGGCTGTCACAAGCCCTCTGCAGTAGAGGGGCATGTATTTGTAGAAATGAGTGGAGAAGGAGGCAATGCTATTGGCCAACAAATGCATGTTAAATGCTCTTTCTGGAAATGTCTGTACTTCCACTCGTTATTTGAGAGCAGATTAATGTGGCACAGTGTTTTGAGGTAGGAAGAGATGGAACGTCTTCTTGGTAGGGACTCCAGAGAAACAGATAGAACCAGCTCCATCTCGTCTCTGGGGCATCGTGATCCTGTTCTGGATCCCCCACCTCAGTAAAGCGGGAGCTCGACATGCACAATGCTGCTGCTCGTTGCCAGCATTTTAACAAATGGCCTCTCAAAATTCGCCCTTGGGCTGTCACAAGCCCTCTGCAGTAGAGGGGCATGTATTTGTAGAAATGAGTGGAGAAGGAGGCAATGCTATTGGCCAACAAATGCATGTTAAATGCTCTTTCTGGAAATGTCTGTACTTCCACTCGTTATTTGAGAGCAGATTAATGTGGCACAGTGTTTTGAGGTAGGAAGAGAGATGGAACGTCATGCTTAAAAAAAAAAAATATATATATATATATATTAATTCCTGCAACTCAATGTAGCTTGCCACATTTAAAAAATGAAATTTTTGTGTGGCCCTAGGGATGAGTCTTTTCCGACAGGAACAAGGTAGCGGTATGCTTGAAGGCTTGGAGCTGATCACCTCCAGAGTCCCTTGTAGCTTGTAACGTAGGAGTCCCCTACATGAACACAGGCAGGAGTCATTCCCCACTTCTCTTTCAGGAATGCCAACAAATAGATCTTAAAAACCCAGCCCAGAAGTTCCCTATTAGTTGCAAGTCTTTTCTACTCAGCATTTTGCATCCCCCCCTTTTTTTCTGCCGCGTGACGTCCCAGCCCTTCCTGCAGCTGTGGTACT